TGTGTTTTTAGGAAAACAGCAGAGCTCTGTCAATAACGGTCTACGGTCAGAAATAAACAATGCGCAAATAAAAAGACCAAGAAAAAGAGAAATGTTTAAAAAGGGGAGAAAATAAAAGGAAAATATATAGCAGACACTGTTCAACTGTAGTAAGATCATTACTACAAACCAAAGAATGTTGATGCATTAAATGAGATCACCTTCAGTGGAAATCAATAATTACGGTGGTAGGGTAACAACATAGTAAAAAGGATATAAACTATACTACTTACTAGTGATTAGTAGTATAAATTCAATTTCGAAGAAAAATACAACGAGAATTAATTGTTCGAGACAATAAAGTCAATTTCAAAGTATTGATTTCGGAGATTTGACTGACTTAAGTGACTGAATAGTCGACAAGCTTGTCTTCTAACCTAAGGGTCCTGGGTTCAATTCCCGGCGGAGTCATTTGGTGAGTAATTCAGAAGAGTCCCAAACAAGGACGAAACGACTGTTTCAATGGTTTACTAACTGAAGTCAGTCCGTGATCAAACTCGAAAACAGTAAAGTTACTTAGCTATCTGGCAGGTGAAATAAACTGATGAAGACAAAACATATACAACATGTCATTTATAAGTACAAAAGTTGTGGAAATTGGTTGTCAAAGTGATCAAATGGTTACGAACACAAAAAGTGTAGTGGGAACCAAGCTCATTCTCAAATGCAACAAATTTTGTTACAGTTCACATATACATTAGCTAACTTTTGATGTAAAAAAACAACATTTTCTATCTTCTAGCATAGGTTTAGATTCGTAAATCGATACGAATTCAACCCGACTCAACAATGTGCTTTCCTATCTCACACTGCTTCAACTGTTAGTCATAAAACATAGTGAGTAAACCAAAAAGCATATTGAATGAAATCCAAAATGTTCTAATCACAAGTTTTAATCAGTAATTTAAGAAAATATGCGAAATCGGCTTCAGCGGAAGCTTAATACTGATGCACAGATAATTTGTAGAAACACACGAATACAGTTATATGAAATGGAGTGCAATATGTGCAGACAGCTGCTACATTAATTACCCTTTATGAAATGAGTTCACTAGCTTGATTACCGTATATATGGAACATGAGTGGGATGTATTCCAAGTTTTCAAGATAACCAATTAGTAGATGCAGACAGCCTAAATAATGAAAGAATTGAACACACTGGTAACCAGAAACACACTATACTTTGACACAAACAAGAGCACGAATTACCTACTCATAGGAAATTTGATATAACAGACAATGATATCACTAGCTGCATAACCAAGTCAGAATTATTGCAATGTACAAGTGGTGTACAGGATTTTAATGAACGTTGTCAATAAGAATATGACACATGTTAAATTGAACAGTATATTAGTAGCCAAAAATAGTTGAATTTCTAACATGGTGTTCATCCATTATTTAAACATAAGGAAAGCCCTTTTGTTTTGATCAGTTGTGTACGACAGGAAAACACGATATGACTAAACAGGACAATAGTATTTGGTAGAGGAATTATTTACTACTAAGTTGAAGTATAGATATGGCAAAAAGTGAGTGATAGGAGGCTCATTTTGTGAATTAGATGACCATATTCAACGACATTCGAAGTTTTACTTTTATCATATACTTAGCCTTATTCAATATCATGAAGAAAAAGCAGTCACCATGTGATGAAAAACAGCGGAAGATAGATTTAGACAGAGGAAGACTTACAGCTAATCATTTCGATATACAGACGAAAGGTTACTTCTGTAGAATTAAGTTAAGAAGTCACACACTAATATGGATTAATTAGTGTATTCAGAAACATCATCTAGTATGACTTACCGAAAAACTCTGTACACGGATAACACCTGTCATTATGTGACATACAGTGGGTTCACACTAGATACTTTACTTTTGACTTTTTATACAAGGTTCGATTAATCGGTTTCACAGACTTATTCTTACAGAAGACTTAATAGTTAGTATTCTGAAGTTGCCAGTATACCTACAAAGAGTTTGTTTATATATCCTATTAGTTATCATTAGCACAAAACTATAATCACATTTCTAGCTGTTAGTACTATTGTTAAACACTAACATTGCAAAAACTAAATGTTAATGCTTCTCGGTTTGAATAATACTACAATGGCTTATTTAATTGACTGGATTAATATGTAACTCGAGAAGTTGTTGCTACATAATTTTATCTTATTGACAGAACCAATTTAAACAATTACTTGATTTTTCATGCTAGGAAACACCCCCAGTGGGTAGTGAAAACCATCAACAGGTCGATATTAGACAATCTGGTTCAAATCGACCATAAAGCTTAGCATTGAAGAATTCTTCTCTATCATCTGTAAGATATCAAATAAATTACCAAAAGCATCCAGGTACCTAATACTCCAAACTGCAGAGGCTGCCGCAATTTGCCTAAACACAAACGGTGCTCTGTGTTCAGAGGAAGCAAGTCCAACCACCATTACTGCCCTGGCCTGCTGTAGAGTCTGAAAATTCATACATACCTTATCACGTCGGCCTTTTTTGATATGGTGCTCCATTCTGTACATATAAATTCCCCTAACTCTCGTTATTACACCTGCAATAACTAACCTTTTGTTTTCCTGTCTAAATATAGCTGCTAACCTACATACTGATATAAATACAACGCACATAACCTGCTACCCCAAATTTTTCCTCTCCCCTGTCCTCGACATGATCACTTATCCATCTGAAGTTTATAATCAATATGAATAAAATTTAAAATGAAGATGACTCTTGAGAATTCACTACTACATATTTGTTGTCATTCATAATCATTTACTTTGTAATATTGGTGTTCCACTTAGTGTTATGGTGCGTCGGTGGCAATTATACATATTACCACATACATATGTTTTAGATTATAATCTATTAACAATCTATTTGCAGATAACTTTTGGAATTCTGATGTCAATGATTCGACGTTACCTTTAAAGAAACACAAATGTTGTCAATAACAATCATTCTTGCATCATTATGGATATATAACTGTAGAACCTGATGATGAAGTTATCGAAAAGAATATTCTTTGTTCAGCAGTCAATCTTGTGAAATTTCTAATGGACATCTTTAATCAATTTCACAGTCATATATTTCCATAACCACATTTCTTCTGTTACACAAATGGAGTCGTTTAAAGATAGTGACAGAATAACAGCGATTGTACAGTCGCTTAATTGATTGTTGAGAAACCGATAGAGAAAAGATGAATCTCATTGTACCAAAAATAGTCTTCACTCAAACTAGAGAGTCATGAGTTAGCTGTGACGAAATTAAGACAGGTCAGTGTGACGTGATACATGAAACTGCACCAGTCCAGTTCATGACAATTCAAAACGAAGAATAGTACTGAAATAGAATGATTCTATAGTTGACACAATATAAGTAAGTGTGCGAGGGAGAAGAATTTAGGTCAAGATAAGAGTTGTTTCAACCAAATTAACTGATCATCTTGGCGATAAACATTCTTAAATATCAGTTCATAACTTCTTGTATGACTATAGCTTTACTGTCACCATGCATAATCACATCATAGCTTCCACTACCCAATACTGAGTTATTATTATATGCTGTTTATTTTCCTTTCTACTTCTTGGTATTTTTTCCCATTTTTAAAAATTATTTTGTGTTTTTCCTGTCTTTTTTTGCTGTTAGTGTCTTTATATTTATTTCTTTTTGAAATACTCCTTTTAAATGTTGGATAAAATTAGATGCAAATATTGTAGATATATGCTGAAAATTCCACACTGTACCATTAGTACTGTTTCTGGAATAAAGCAAATTATTATTATTAGTAGTAAAGATGTTTGACATGTTAAAGAAAGATACAATGCAAACACATCTGAACACACATTGTGAACGGTTTAGCAATACGTCACCTAAAATCGTCTCAAACCACTTTACCTAATATTCTAAGCGCCCCAGCCAAGCGACACACATACACCTTTTTACATGACTAGCACTAGGATTAAGTCCCGTGTTTTGATCTGATCATTCCTTACCTTTTCTGAAGACAGTTCTCTTCCAAGAAGATGGTCCTGAGTTAATATATTCTGGTAGCTCCAACCAGTTAAGACCCACTACAACCTCATCAACCGATTCCCAATAGGAGTGGTAATTTAATTTCACTAATATATAACGATACAAGTATTTATTTTGAATCAGTTGACTAACAACAACAAAAATAATAATAGCAATGATTTTTACAGAATGCATAAAGAATTTAACTAATAAACAAAAAGCGTAAATTTGCCAGTTGAACAAAGGGATCACAAGCAGTTACTTAAAATCAATACTCTTTCTTCCAATGAAATGTCTGAAGAACACAAAGCATATATATATATTTATATGTGAAAGTGTAGATATTAATTAATTTGGAAATGGAGGGAGCAAATAGAAAATAAGGATATATGTATGATTAATCACTTGTACAGAATAGTAAGCAGGAATGTAGTTCGAGTCTTTTTATTATGAGGAATGATAATCTGTAGGATGTATATTTTAGGAAAGAAAAAAAGGAAAAGTAATTAGAAACGGATGACGGATTTTTAAATGAGCATATACACATATTTGATATGAAGAACATTATATTTCAATGAGCTGGTATATTTAAATACAACAGTAATAATTTTAAGCATTAAACACAGTTACTGCATATATATGTAAATGGTTCGAAAACCATTATAGAATTTAAAAATAAAAGAAGAAACCAGCAGGTAACCAGCTAGTTCGGAGGAGAAAGAAACATGTTTATCATTGAAACAAATAAAATACAAATTCAAAAAAATAGTAATATTATTGATCTTTATTATCTATGACTACTTCTGTTTAAATACAACAGCATATTCTGGTAAAAACTTAGGCGTTCTCATTCTCTTTCAGAGTAGGTGATAACGTTTTGTCTGATAAAGGTGAAAATTTGGCAGAATTATTTCGAAGGAAATCAGATTCTTTCAATAAAGGTGAAGAAGGACACACAGAAGGTAAGTCAAATGGACAACAGCGGACTGCTACACTCATTGCTCCGACAGCAGGTCTAGACAAAGGATGACCGTTCACTAACGAAGATAAATGCGCTGAATATCCATTTAACAATGGCTGGAAAACAAAAAGAAAAAAATTGTATTAACACGAGAAAATAAAATGTGCTAAAAGGGGTGATCTACTTGTTTATTAACCAGTTAACGTGACACAGTATTCCATGGCATAGTATTTTATAACAGGAAGTTATAACTAGTGATTTCCAGTTATGTCAAAGATTCAATGATATAAGAAAAACGGCTTACAATATATGGGGAGTATTTATCCTGCATGCCAGAGTTAATGAGTAGAAAATCCGTTCATTTTATCAAAAGGTATTTTATCATTCAAATGAACTGTCGTCAAGATTTGACAGAATAGTTCTAAAATATTTGGGCGCCGAGCGAGAAGTAGACATTTGTAAAAAATTATATTTGTAAAGTCTCAGTGAGATTGATATGAGTAATTCCAACGTTTCGTTCGGCAATCTGGTCCGAACTTCTTCAGGGAAATTAATCGAAATTAACATAACATAGGTTTATATATAAAAAGGAACATCACTTGATTTGTAAACATTTGTCTAATCATGAGTCACTCAAAAAAGTATCAACAAGTATAATAAACAAAATTTTATGAGCTGTGATCAAAATTTGACCTCGGACTTACAAATATTGGTCTACCTTTGTTAAACACATTAAACAGAGTGTGTATGTGTGTGTGGGTAAACAGTTGTAAAACATTTCTTAACGTTTCCATAAGAATGTTAATTTCGATTAATTTCCCTGAAGAAGTTCGGACCAGATTGCCGAACGAAACGTTGGAATTACTCATTTCAATCTCACTGAGACTTTACAAATATAATTTTTTACAAATGTATTTTATCATAATTGAAAGAATGAAAATTTAGTAAAAACTTCCGATAAAATGAAACTAGAGTTATCTTTATATATGAACCGTAAGTACACTGCTCGCACGATACTCTCTTTACTACCTATTTGATACAATATGCTCTGATAATATTGATTTGATCCTATTGATTATCATGTGGTACTTTGAATAATTTATGTGCATACTTTTCTGATAAATAGAAGGCATATCTACTTTATGTATTATATCAGCAACAGTTGTGAAAATTGATTCCCAAAGTCATGGACGACAAAGTAATTTAACGAGACATTTACGTTTAATAAATATCTAGACTCTTCTGAAATATTATACAAATTATGAGGTACATAAAGACATTGTTACATGGATAAATCAGCAAGTTTAGTACTTAGATTTACTTATGTATAATAAAGATATTGATAAAGACAGATAAATCTGGGAAGTTAAAGGAATAATCGGATGTATTTATGGAATTTACTAGTTAAAAGAAAGGAGAATACAAAAGAAGTGCATCACACAATTAAAAGGAAAAGTGAACTTCTATGAAAACAGTAAAATTCGAAACCTTAATTTTATATAAAAGTCAATGAAACTTAAACGAAATTGTATTGATCGAATAGATCCCATAATCGATATGGTACTATTGAAGAAGAGTAGACCTAGGTTTTTCGCTCGAAATGCTCCAAATTCGTAGCCACAGACATTTAGGTGTTATTCACTGCCTTCACACGCGTCTGCGGAGTTCATCACAAAAGTGAAAAGGCGAACGCGAACATCTGATGATTACAACCGGATTGGTAGAAATGCAGGTCTACCTAAGGAGGCTGAAAAATCCTAATTCCAAAACTACGGTTTAAATGAGCTTCAGAATCCGAACAAATCGAATGGAATATAGACCTGCTTTAGTCAGCGGAAACCATGGGAACGTAGCTGCTGACATTGCTCCGCTGCCATGTGGATCAGGCTGCAAGTCAAAGACTCGAAAGTTGGTCTTTAAAAATAACCACCTGCTTCGGTCTGGGCGTTTAAGCAGTATCCCAGCAATCGTACAAACTATGAGATGTTATGTGGCACATCTCTTGGTGGCCGAACGTTCCTATTCACCCACCCACTTTTGTGAAGACCACTTGCGTCACGTGAGGACAGCGAATAGGAGTTACCTGGCAGAGGCTATGAAAGCGTGGTCACATAACAGCATTTCCAGATTAAGACTGAAGCCTACCTACTCTCAGCCATACAAGATCGTTTACGGTGAAAACTGAATTAGTGCCAACACATTGTGAAATAGAGAAAGGTATCTATACTGCCTGAATACAACTACAGCTATAACTAACTTAATTCATTGACAGTAGTCTAGGAGTCGACTAGGAGTAAACGTTATCACTAAATACTCTTCTGTTTAATAATGGAATGTAAACTTTGCTAACTGTATGCTCATTTCAAGTATTGTCTTTTTAAGAGCATCGTAAAATGTAACTGCTTTATAAGCATCAATATAATTAACATTGTGATCAACTGGTTTTAGACACAAACTGTGTTTTCTTCGACTGTTGTTTTATATATCATGCTTCCAGTTTATTTATTCTACACATACGCTATATTGCTGTCATTAGATTTAATTGGATGCCTATTTTTGTATCCAGTTCAAATTGCACTACTAAAAATGCTCATTAAGATAAAATTACTCTTATTTCCATATTATACTCTTTGATAAGGAAGGTATCAAAAAACAGATATTTAATGAACAACATTGATTTATAGCTAGACACAATTCTGTGTGTGCACTACTATCAAATATTAAAATACCATGTTATGTAATGTACACATATATAACTCAAAGTAGGACGAAATGGTTCAATATTAGTGTGACTGTTCGAAATAAGAGACAAAACAATTTTTATAGTAGGGGGTGGGGGGCGGGTAGGAACGTTTACACATAGAAGGCGATCACAGTAACTAATGTTGAACTTACGTTACATGAGTAGTATACTCTGATAAATGCTTAAAATGTAGACTGAATAGCTACTAACTAGAGAACTTCGTATATTATTAACTTTTCAAGTTTTGCATTTAGCTTATCCAGCTGGAGTTGGT